TATATAAAGATGAGTATAGGAAAGATAATCATAATTTATTCCTACTCGTAATCCTAATAAGTCTAGAATACAGATTCAAGACATTTTCTAACAAATCAAATCTCGGTCTCCCTCTTCTAACGAGAAGGGTCTATTTATATATTGCGGGGACGCGGGAGGGGGGTTAAACCATAATAGGAATCCTAGATCCATAAACCTTGAAGGGTTCGATCTTATCCTTCCTTATGCGCTCAAACCCTACATTATTAATGATCTCAGTCTCTCTCCTCTGACTAGGCCTAATCTTCATCATAAGTCGTCCCCCACCCATTGATACACTACTAGGTCCTCTAGCAGTAGCAAGTCCAAAATCGAGAGCTTGAAGGACCAGAAATAAAGCCTCGAGTAATAGGTTGACACCCTAACCCCTAAATTCATGATGAAGACTTGATCAAAAGGTTACATGATGGTAACCACCCTCCACGATACGATGAAGGAATGGGATGACCAAGGTAGCCTGAGGCTCTTTGTTAGAGTTGGGTAATTGAAATAGAATAAAAATATTTGACTTCAACGTTTGTTGTGCATAGAGAACATTAGCTTAAATATTTGTATTTGGTATACATTACATTGTGATTTTTATTTGGCCTCTATTTAAATAGTTGTTTGTAGTTGTTGTTTGGTATGCGTTCATTGCAAATCTCACCCGAGTGTATGGTATGTTAGTGACATTAACAGAAAATCAGAGAAACAAAAGTAAGATACAAGAAAATTGTGAATGCAGTACGTATATCACGCATTGTAGTTGATTTGCACTAATAGACGTATTTTTTCATCGTAGATTATGGATTGGCGACAATATATTTTCAATAGACCGATTCTATTAGAGATCCATTGCAGATTATGAATATGTTACTACCTTCTCAAACTTGCAACGAGAACTATTAATTGTAGATCTGTCAGATTCTTATAGTGTTAGTTTCTTGTGTGACATGTCATCAAGACATTGTTCGGCTTCAAACGCCCTAATCTATTAAGCCTTTGGAATCCACCGATGTGGATTGTCTATATATAGCTACACATACTCATCAGTCATCATTGTTTCTTAGGACTCCGGATTTGGCTACCTATTAAGTCACATCACCCTTCATACTCATTTTTCTTCACGCTTCCATTTGCAATTAACATATCTGCTGCTCGTTGTCTTAGATTCACTTTTCAATCCTCGTCATCTTTTGTTCAACCAAGGTTTCGAACCCTAACAATACTGAACGAAGATTGAAATCTGAAACTGGAATCTGATGTCCCCCACGTACCATATGAAGAATAATGTGTCATTGGAATTAAGTTGTGAGTATTGTTTCTTGCTTACCACCATACGTAGATGTCAATATTAAAAGACTTTGAGTTGAACTAAATAATTGCTTAAATTCAGTCTTTAGAAAGATTTGATTCAAGTTTCATAGGACTCCTTATAAATGAGCTAGATGATGGATTCGACATTATATGTAGGATTTTGTACAAAATGAACTTGTTTCATTAAACATTAACGCATTATTTATACAAGATAGCAGATTGACCTGATTAAGAGCTCAAAAACAAGCCCATTAGTACTAAAGCCCAAAATATCCACTAACACTCTCTCTCAAGTTGAGACATGAAAGTTACGACCAAAAAAATTTGGAATCTGACAATAAAAGAGGGTCACAAAGAAAGCTACTATCTTGTTAGCGGATGTATTAGCTAGGGTTTAGTAGTTAGTAATGGACTTGTTAATGAGCACATAATTAGATCAAGCAACTATGTTGTATAAATATTGTTTTTTGTTTAACGAAACGATCTCAAATCTGTAATAGTATCAACGTAAGCATTGATCGACCTCAAATGTCAAGATTTCATCTACGTCATTTCTAACTGCACATGATGAGTATTTATCACAGTCGAATGTGAAATCCAAATCTAATTATATTGTTTGTCTGAAACCTTCGTACTTGTCAAGGAACCAATTCAATCAAAAGCTTAATTTTATGGTTGTTGCCCAGGAAATATTTTCTTTATTCTAACACGCCCCCTCACGTGCTGGCGTAGTTTTTTTCGAGCTTTGCACGTGAAACTTTACTTTTTTTTAAATAATCGATTAGATGCAATATGTGTGTGTGTGTGTTATAGTAGAATTCGTCGGACATTAATAAATAAGATAAGATAGATTTTGGTGGGTGGGAATGAAATAGGAAGAAGGAGGTGATGAGCATGCATGTATAGTATGGTAGCTGTTAGGCTGTTGCTGTCTACTTGTATTTCTCATATCTGATCTCCTGCGGGCGGGGGCATGGCAAGAAGCTGCGCCTCAACCACACCCAATCAAACTCCATATCAGAGGGGCAATGACGGGAATTCGCCCATTGCCCGCGAAGAAGCGTGGAACCCGGGCCTCAGGTAGGTGATAATATATAAATACACATTACGCAGAGAGAAAATAAAATAAAAATAAAGATGGAGAAAAAACGAGGAAGGGAGGGGG